TAGAGCATCAGGGAAGGGCTTGTGGAAGTGGTGACATTTGAGCTAGTTCTTGCAGAATAGGCAGGAGAAGACATAGAATGGAGGCAGAATGGAGGGCAAGGTTAGTTAGAATGGGAAGCACATGCTTCAAGACTCAGAAGTGTGAAATACATCAAGGCCCTCTTCCAAACCAGAGGGACACGGGTCTTGGAAAGCCCTGTGATAGAGCTTCCAGAAGGAATAGCCCTGCTGACTTTAGCCCACTGAAACTGAATGTGGACTTCTGGCCTCCAGAACGAAGCAAGAATAAGTTTGCTTTGTTTTAAGCCACTAAGTTGGTAATGATTAATAACATCAGCCATAGCAAACTGATACAGAGAGTGAAATCATGCTACTCATGCTGAGAAGCAGTAGGGAGTTAGTGAAGGGCTTCAAGCTGAGGAGTGATGCCATTAAATTGCATTTTAAAAAGGTAACAGATGGTGAATTGTAGAATGGAGTATAGTGGCAGGAAGCAGAAGCAAGGAGATATACATAAGGAAGCTATTTCAATTGGTTTTAATTGACACATGATAACTGTACATATTTATGAGGTACACTGTGATATGTTGATTCATGCATACATCAGGTAATAATCAAAGCAGAGTAATTAGCATATTCATCATCTTAAACTTTCATCATTCCTTCATGATAAATGCATGCAAAATCCTTTTCTAGCTATTTTGTTAGCTGTATTCACTCTAATGTGCCATAGCACACCAGAACTTACTCCTTATATCTAATAATAATACTGTACCATCAACCAGTCTCTCCATCACCCTTTTCCTTTCACTTTCCACAATCTGAATTGTTTTCATGGAGTTGATACTGTGAAGAAATGGAGAAAAGGACACCTGTTGAGAAAATATTTACCTGGTGAAAAGGACCAGACTTCATAATGATCAAATGTTGAGGATGGAAAAGAACATCAAGAAAACTCTTGAAATTTTGACTCATTTATGGAGTTTACAAGTATTCTAGTGGATACAGGGAAGAGAAAAGAGGTGTTGATCCCTAATGTGCCTATAGAAATGTCCAGGTAGAAATGCTGAACAGTCAAAATGAATGAAGTTTTGAATGTGGGAGGAAAGGAGAGATGTTAAGATGTAGGTTTAGATAACAACAGATGGGAATCACCCACCAACAGAGAAGAAGAAAGGAATATTAAAGATGACAACTTTGCATCCCTTTTTATGAATGTACATGATTTCTTTAGAGAAGTAAAGGGGCAAAAATGAGCAAGAAATAAACGCTAAAGACTGATGAACAGAACCTGAACAGGATAGCCTTGGGGACATCAAGAAAAGAGACAATTTTTAAGAAAGAGGAACTGTTCAATAAAGACAAATTCTTCAACTGAATAGAAGGAATGGTCACAGAATAGATACCAGTGACTCCCTTATTAACAGGCCCTTGATTTTCTTCTCTATTCCTGTTATTGTGCAGTAAAGTAGTTAGAAGTAATAATTACAAGAGTGAACAAAAGTTGAGGAAAGGAAGTGGAGAGAGACAATGTATAAACTCTTAAGAAATCTGGTGGAAATATATTGAAAGGGAATGGTGGCTAAAAAAAGTCACATGTTCATTAAAAATTATTTTTAGAAGACACTAGGTTGAACAAGAGAGAAGTCAGTGACTAAAGAGATTGCAAAGGTTAAAAAGCATGAGACTAATGAATGAGTGAGGTCAAAGATGAAGCAGAGGGTATGGAGAGGTTAGGCTGAAGAGGAAGAATTTCATATTTTTTCAGATGTGAGGGCAAAGGACAATGAAAGAAGATATAAGTAAATTTAGATGTGGGGACGGGGAGGATGGAACTTTCATTTCTAATAGTGCTCATTTTATTTAAAAAGACTAAATTTTATCTTAGACATTAGAAATAGAAGTATATATTTTCACAGGCTTCTATCAGACTAATGTCTAGACAGGCATTAGTCTGGTTCAAAACACCAAACCACATAGCCGTATTGTGACAAGTAAGTGCCTGATGAATGGAAGGCTGCCTTCTTAAGATCTGGACAGAACCATGCATCATAACTAAAGCATGCTCCATGTCTACAGAACACCTACATAGAGACAACACATCAGAAGAGCTTTTACCACATCATAACCACCACATCATCACTGGCCATGACAACAATAACAGCAACAAAGAGTTGCTAAGAGTTTGCCATATGCTTGGTTTTGTGTTTGGCTCCGGGAATGTAAAGTTGAAGAAGGCAGGCTGGTGCTGTGGCTCAGTGGTGAAATGTCTTCCCAGGATGTACAAGGTCCTGGGTTTCATCCCCAGCATCAGAAAAAGAATTGAAGAAAGTATGGCACCTACTCTTCAGAGTTTTGAGATTTTGTACAAAGAAGATGCTATGATTTGGGTAAGTGTTTCCTAAAAATCTATGTTAACAGGTTCATTGCTAGTCTACGGCACTATTGGTAACTGGTGCGTAGTGGAAAGTTTTCCAGTCACTAGGTGGTATGTCCTTGAAGGGGATTCTTACACTCTAACTCCTTCTAGTCTCTCTCTTTGCTTCCCAGCCACCATGAGATAAGCAGCTTTGATCTGCCATGTACTCCTGCCATGATATACTGCTCATCATAGGTCCAAAAGCAATGGGGCCATCTGACCATGGACTGAAATCTCCAAAACTATGAGCCAAAATAAACCTTTCCTCTTTTTAAGTTGATTATCCTAAGTATTTTGTTACAGTAACAGACAGCTGAATAACACAGAAGACTCTTTACTCAAATGTCTAACCTAAGACTGTTTCTCACACAATGGGATATCAAGAAGGCTTCATAAATTTTCCGAGCATTGGTATCACAAGGAGCATAACTTGAGGTCTAGGTAATCAGTTGACTAAAGTAAAAACCACTTGGCCAATTCCAGATTGCCAACTCTTAATTCCTGTGCCCCTTCCATTTAATTTTATCATGATATACTTCTTTTCCTAATAAATTCATAAGCAATTTTAGATACCTGGTTATAGACACATAAGTACCTATGAAGTAAAGAATGGAGAAATGTTTTCTGCTAGAAGGATATTAAAATGAGAGCTGCCAAGAACATATAACCAAAGGGCTCAAGTTGATTAAAAGTGTCATTTGTGTGTCAAGGCAAGTATAGTCCTCTCAGCACCCTTGTCACCCTGGAGATAAAGTCCCATTCTGTATCAATTTTCTCAGAGTGCAGAACAGTAGAAGAACATCATCCTTTGCCTTATGAACTTATCATGCCTTCATGAAAAGTTATGAAATGAAAGGGAATTAGTGCCAAGGGAGGAGAAATGATATTTCACGGTAATAACCAGCCTAAGCAACAAAACAGTTACACCCTAATGCTTACAGATAAGGCTCAGGAATGGTAGTAGTAAACATGCACAACAGATATCCATGACTTTTCATTGGCCAGGCATAACTAACGTAGATACATTAAAATGTGTAAATGTCTTTCAAGATCAATAACAAGCAAAGATTCACAGAAATCATATTTCAGAGAACTTAACAGCTGCACTGAGGCAGAATGGTCTCCTGAATGGCAAGAGAGGCTTGAAATCAAGAGAAATAGGGAAAATTCCATGGACAAATTTCCTTTCTGGGCTCAGTGTTTAACCTTAAGGACACTGTGGATGCATGGGAGAGAAGCAACGTAGAATCAGGAGCTCTGAGTAAGGTCAGACTCTCCTCTCCCAGAAATCTCAGGCCCTGGCAATCTTTGAGCAATTGGCAAGTAGAAATAGTGGAGGATTCAGCCTTTTGGTTCAGTCCCTGGGCTCTGGCATGGAAATGCTAGGAAGCTTTGCCAGCTGGAACTGGTCTTACCAACATTTGCTTATATTACACTGCTCTCTTGACAAAATGGATGTAGAACAATGTTAAGATCCTCAAGTTTGAAGGGAAACAAGAAGCCTATGGTTGTGTCTTTGAGTTTAGAGGAATGAGGCTTAGAGGAAAACGCCTGCAACAACTGTGGCCCAGAAATAAATCTCTTGCTCCTGGAAGAAAGGACCTTGCCAGAAGAGTGGTTATCATGCCTCTGTTACCTCTTGACAAGGCAAAACATGGACTTGTATGGAACTCTCAGAACCAAGAGGACTGCAACCACAAGGGCACATTTGCTTTCTTCATAGTCCTGCTCACAGCAGAGGGTCCTTTATCTTAGAGGAACCCTTGATCGCTGAGTCTCATGATGACCCATTACTTGAATTTCACTAGGCTCTTTAGCAGCTCACATATCCACATTGTGGCCTCATCAGAATGCCATGCAGATGAACTCAAGAGAAATTCATAAATAGAATTTCTAAAACAGTCTTGGTTGATCAGACTGTAGATACATTGGGACATCACTACTATACCAGATGGTGCATTCATAAAGTTTGAAATTTTCCAATTTCATACACTACTTGGGATGAATATCACTTGATGTTAAGACAGTGGATACAGATTTATTTGTAAGCCTATTTATCCAGAAACATAAAAACTTAGGACAATACAGATTTCCTTATAATATAAATCAATAGGAAAACTGAGCCTAAAGACAGGGCAAATGGAATGAGTAGGTTTCATTATTTGGTTGCTGTAAGGAACTGCCAAGCAGTGTCTTGGGTTGTTGGCTCAAGAGGTAGTGGAAAACTCAAACAGTCTTCTCCTTTTCTCCTGTTCCATAGCAATAGTCTAATATTTTGTCTTCACTATGACAGTGGAAAGAATGGGGGCTGTAACAATCTTCAGTGGACTCTCTCTCTCTAGTTACTAATACAGTGACCAGTTTTGACACAATTCTACATTTAAAATTCCCTGAAACATCTTAATTTTGAGATTTAGTTTTAGTGACCATACTGGAAATTTTAAGGATGAACATAGAACGTTGAGGGGAAATCTGAATTAGTCTCTGTCCTATGGACTCCTTATGTTTGGCCATGTGGATTGTATGTAGACAGCTGGTAGTTGCAGGGGGTGTAGAATTTGCTGCTTAGCATGCTACTCACCTTTACTGATGTCTTCATACTCCAGCCAGAGTCGATGCTGCACTTGCTTGTTTGGGTACCAGATTGAACAGGACTCCTCAAAGCCATAGATAGCTTCCTGGATGTAATGGTTGCCAAACTGGTCCAACAAGGCTACAAAATCTGCACGAGTTGTAGCCCCATCCAGGGAGTGGAGAGCATTGCTGAAGGCTATGTAGAAACATCACCAAAGAATAAGAGTGAGGACTCACAATTTGGGTATATGGATCACCAGGCAATTCAGCCCCAAATGTGACTGAGGGGTCTGAAGTGATGTAAGACAGTAGGCTAAGTTTATCAGGTAAGTGTTCCATGTAACAAAATCAGATGTTTCAGTTTCTAAACTGATGTCTTTCCAAGTTAGAAGGTTGTGTTGTTAACTTTGTACAAGTTAAGCAAATCATTGCCAAATCTCCACTCCTGCACCCCTTAAGTAAATGTTTTTTTTTCCCAAACTGTAGGTCATGACATTAAATCAATTAAGTCAGTTCAAATAATAGCATTTAAAAAGGAAAAGAATAGCATAGTCTAAAATAGAAACACAAATACTAGCAGAGAACATTTCACATCACAAGATGAAAGATTGTTTCATGAAACTTGGGTTTTATGAATGTGGAGGTGTGTACGTGCATAAGGTCATGGCCTAAAATGTATTCTAACTGTGGGTAGTGACCAAAAGCATTCACAAAATATTGCCTTTAGACATAGAAACAGGCAATGGAAAGACATGTTAGAACAAATGTAAGAGTCACTGATATACTGCTTATATTTTATCTTAGAAAAATCAAAAGTAACAGGAGTAGGAAATATCAGGTGAAAGAAACACCTATCTACCTCTTTACCCTCCTCCCAGCTAAATTTTCTTTGGGTTTCTGTCTCTTATACTCATAGGAAAGATGGCCCATGGTAAAATTTCCAAATCCAATACCTTCTATATCTGAGCAAGTTTAGACAATCCTCCTTTCTACACACTTGTGTCCTAGCAGGCATGAGACCTCAAGTTCCAAGGTTCACAATACTTGTGACACCATTATAGGACATTAAAAGTCCCTGGCAACAGAGGTATCCAAGGACTAAATCCCTGATATGTCTAGCATCAGTACTGGGCAAATGAGTACATGAGTAGTGTAGACTTCCTACTGCCATGTTTTCAAAGACTGAGGAGTAATTTACTTCTTTCTAGATATTCAGCACCTGCAAAGTTGCCATCGTTATGGCTCTTATACCATTCCTTTCTTGCCAAGAACTCACTTGAGCAAAAAAAGTTCTGAGCACTGTTGTGTCCTATGGAAAAGTTCTATATCCTTATTGCATTACTACTCTCTATCATGAAGCAGTACATTGAGTATATGTCTTACTTCTCATCATAACCCTTCATCCTCTACCATTTGTCGTCCTGGTCGTTACCCTAAGAATCCACTTCCCTATTGCTGACCCTAAGACCCAAGTAAATGTATAAATCACCACTCCTTAGCTTGCTAGATATATTATCCTTATATTTCTACATACAAGTATATTTCTACACATAAGTTCTATAGGGTATATATTAGAACATAAATATATATTTTTATAATTGTACTCACTGCTGCTTAGGGAACTTAAAGCTGTTTCTTACTTTTTCTTATCCCTTTTCTTGCTCTCTTTTCTTTGTGTCATTATGTGGAATCTCCTCTAAATTGTGTTCATTCCATTTGGAATGTTTTATTCTGCCAATTTGTAAAAATTCTGCTTTTAAAATATCCTCTCCCCACCCTGGATGACCCCAGAAAAACTGAAAATATCATTTAAAAATAATATCAATGAAATGACACTTCCATTTTTTCCAGTCCTTACCCATTCCATCTCTTCTATAGTCAATGACACAACTTGCAATTTAAGATGTGCTTAGAATAGACTCTCATTCTAGCCATTTGCCCATAACAGTGAATCTGCGTAAAGACCTCATAGAGTAACCACTGTTTACGTTACTTCCTCAACAATGGGCTTGTAGGCTTGTTGTCTTGGAAAGAATTCCCAGCCCTAGGGGAAGGAGGGAGAGGGCCTGCTCTCTCACCCTGAGATATGGCAGCTTGGTTGAGTGTGATGTGATGCATCACAGATCGAACCTTCCAGCGCTGCAGCACGGGGTACCCAGATACTTCACTGAAGTTCACCATACCTGGGGACAGAGAACGCAGGGTCAGTGCTTGAGATTGAGTCACACGCCTTAAGTCAAAAAACATGACCCAGCTCAACTATGTTAAGGATTATAATTGTGAGGAAATAATGAAGTCTTCTTTGATGAAGAGAATTTCTAGAATTGTATTCACAATTACTATCATCTATTGAACCTTTACTCTTTGCATATATTAAATGTGATCCTTGTGAGGTGTTATTATTTTTATTTTGTAAATGAGGATACTAATGTTTAGAGAGGGGGTTCATACAAGATCCCTAAGACACTAAGTAAACCAGGATGGGCGTTCCAGATGTTCATAAGCCCAGGGCAAGGATTCTTATTCACGCTACTCCAATATCTTCATAATAAATTTATATTAAACTCTAGGCTTATTGTAACACTCTTTAATAGTTGCAATAGCTGACACAACTCACATATCTGATAACACTGATTTTTCTGTCTCATTTAACTGATTTGTATTTGGTATTTAAGTTTAATTATTCTGAGGCTGAAAATACTAATTTCTTCTTTATCAGAAGGGACTGTGTCAGAGTAATTAAATCATTAAATGGCAGGAACTATCAAATACTGAGTACAAACTTTGTGCCAGGCAATGTAATAGGTACTTATGGTGCCCCTTTTACTGATGGGAAAATTGAGACTCTGAGAAGTAAAATTGCTTGTCCAAAGTCTTGCTCAATGTACAACACCCTAGAGGCTTTTGGAAATGTAGTTAGTGGGATGTTCTTCTTTGACAGCTTTGGAGAAAGAGTATCCCCTATTTGAATTCTAGCCACTACTATAAATATAAAATGCTACAGATACAAAATAATTAGGCCACATGAAGTAAAAAAAAAAAAAAAAAAGAACCTTTATAAGTTTATAAAACCAATTTTAACTTCCTCTGTGCCTAATGTTTACTAGCTGTGTAAGTTATGGGGAAAAAATATATATGTATTTAGGTATGTGTAAGTATGCATATATACACATATACAGTAAGTTTATATATATATAATATGATGTATATACTACAAAGATAGTGGCAATAATACATATATAATGAATCATTCTGCCATTTTGACTCATGCCTCCTTTAAACAAAATCAACTAATTTAATATCTAAACTGAATGAAGAGTAGGCAGTATTAATTAGCTCCTTGTCAACCTTGATCAAATTAGGTGAGTAATTACCAAATTTCCATTTCTGTGTGAATCATATGGGAATAATTATTGGTAAGGCAAAGAGAAAAAAGGTCAGGAAAGGTGATTAGTGAATCAATTGCTTAAATTTTATCTTAGGTAATCAAAGATAAGCTACATAAAATTAAGAGGTTTTCAGTACTTTTTCTTTCAAATATTCCTTTTTTTAGGGCATTAATCTTTGTGATGACAGTCTTATTACTACATACTTTGGCTTTTCACCTTTATGTTAACTTCAAAAGCATACAAGTGCAATTCTAACTTTACAAGTCTAAGACTTAAGTCACATACCTTAAAGGTACATTTTACTACAGCACAAGATATGTGAGGTATGTAGAAACATTCAATATAATGGTTATGTTAGCACATCAACTTTGTTGCTATTTGAAAAAGCCTATTTATAAAACATAGCAAGCCCAACAAATAAAGATTTTCAACTTACTGGGGAAGGCTTCCTTTAACTGAATTGTTTCCTATTGGAAAAATAAATATGCAAGAAACCAGGAGACCACAGTTCAAGGCTGTCTATGTTGTTGAGGAGCCATTTCAGGATGATAGTCACTCTGATACCAATTTGTTCTCACAATCCCAGTATCCTCTTTTTGGCTATCTGGCTAAAGAATATTTGGATTCCCAGTTGTTTCATCTGTTAAAGTGAGAGGTTTAGCTGAGGTGATTTCTCGCTTCCTTTTCAAGTCTGTGATTCCCACCAGCTGTATGATTTTGAGCTAGGCAACTCACATTTGTTTCAGTTTTCATATCTGAAAGGTGGGGCTAACAGTGTCTATCCTATTTACTATATAAGTAAATTGCAAGAACAGAACATTATGGGCATGAAAATACTTTAAGAAAGTGCCACACACACACATGGCCTCCATGATGCCATCTTCCTCCTCCTCCTAACCGCTCTTCTCTCATCACTGTTAACAGTGTAAACTTGACATTTCTTAAATGATGCTTTTGTTACAACTTTCTAGGCTTTAGTCCAAAACAGTAGGGGGAAGAAAAAATAAAGAAAAAGGGAAGGATGTTGGAAGGAGGATAGGAATGACAGTATCTTCCGGGATGAGCCAAATAAGTGAACTCCATTACTTAACTGCGAAACAACAATGGATGCACTAAGGTTACAAGTAGTCAGGGAAGCAGTTATATAACTGTTAATGCTTGGGAAATGTTTTTTCTGTGCCTACTTGCAGATAATCTTTCCATTAGTTAAAAAGAAAGGGATATTTCAAAGTATATATTTTCTAGCTGACTCATATGGTTCCTCCTCAGTATGCCCTTGACTTGCAGTCAGGTTTCATTATTTTTTTTTATTTTATTATCACTTGGGGACACATTTCTGCCGAATTGCTGTTTTTCAAACAAAATATCTCTGACTATGTTTTCTCCAGAAAACATTATTTGTTTTTCTACTATGTTTGACCAAACAGACCTGTGTAGAATCTTCAAAGTAAGAGTGGAAGGAAGGAAGAAAGGGAAGATGGGAGGAAGAACTACTTTCTCTTGTTATTTCATTTGAAAAAGGGGTACATCTTGCCCCAAAATTCTAAAGCCAAGGGCCTGTTCCCTTTGAGTGAACTTGAAGAAGTTCCAAAGGGTCAAGAGTTCTAAATCTTCAACTAGATTTAATGATTGAGGCATGAATGTGCTCAGCAGCCTACTCTACCTCCGTTACTAGAGGTCTGGACTTCTTTTTCTCAAATGAAAGACTGAATACACAAGTTGACAAAAGCCAGGCATGTGTAAAAGCACAACTCTGATCATAAAATTCAGCAACCAATTCAGGAAACCACCTCATTTTCAATATTAACCCACCGAGGAAGCCATCCTGCTATCTGCAAGTCAGACTTTTAGGAAGCCAGACCACCATCTCTAGCAAACAGCCTTAAAAGCCAGTAACTCCTTTAACAATTGGACACAAACAACTAGTATTTTACTAATAACTGAAAACTGTCTAATTTTTGTTCTGACTTGCTGGATCCAATCATAGAAAACCAAATAAGCACCCTTAATCAAAGACATAGGCTGCCCGATTTCTGTTAGCTCACCTACAGTGTTCTATGCCAACAGCCTCTAATCACACCTGAAAACATCCTTTTTTCCATCATGAAACTTTCCCACTCCTTTGCCTGCCCTTGAGTCTCTGCCAAAACTCCAGTTATAGCTGCTGAGTCCCTTACTATAGCCAGCTCAGAATAAATAGCCTTTGCCTGTTCACATTTGGTTGGCCTTCTTTTATTTCTACACAACCTGTTAACAACAGAAAGGCTGTGAAGCTCAGAATTCTTAACTGTACTCTGATGAAGCAAATAAATCAGTATTTTCAAGTCTGTTCTTTAATAGTTTTGTCAGATGGAAATAGACATTGTGTATGAAAAGATTCTCTTGTTGAGTAAGCTTGGGAATTGCTGGGTTAAATAAAGGGAAAAGGATTTCCTTCCTGCAGGCTTCTTGGATCCTTTTTTAATGCTAAGGTGATGTAAATTGCTGAGAAGAGAATACAGCTTTTCCAAACATAGTTGAAGACAGAAGCCATTTGTGAATGGAGCTCTGATTTTTCATGAAAAACAAAACAAAAAGCAAGCTTAGAAATGCTGATACAGATAATTCTGTATCTTTATCAGATACCTTCAGCTCTAAAATCCTCTAAATTTGTAGGTTTATAGAGATTATGATCTATATTAATACAGAATGTGACATGATACAAGATTCACCCTATGACTCTCAGAAAAGTTACCATTACAGTTTTGCCATAACTAAGAGATACTATGGAACAAATGTAGCCATCTCTCTAATCAATTCTTCCAGTTATTCTGGGCTTTAAAAAAAAAGATAAGTTCACATTTTGCTCACATTAAGAAACACATGTTCTTAGGCCTAACTAGCTCCACTTCTTAACCAAAATAGGTTAAAAGTATAGAGGGGTAATGAAGGGGAGGGATAAGAGGGTAATTTGATTGTGGTACATTTTATGTATGTGTGTTACAATGAAACCCCTTTATATACATAGTATATTCTAATAGAAGTTGTTCTAAAATAACACTTTAATAACCACATGATATTCCATTTTATATAACCTTTGTTAAAATATATAAAATATTCTAGTTAAGCACAAAAGTCCAAAAGAAAAAGAAAAGTAGCCAGGTCAGGAAGAGTGCCGGCTCTGCTTCCAGGAATGTTAGACTTCACTGCTTGAGGACCATGAAAAATGGAAGGGTCTAATCTGGGTATTCTTCTTTCTTTTCTTTTCTTTTTTTTTTTTTTTTGCCTCCAGTAAACCACATTAGGAAAGGTCCAAGGGTACAGGAGAGAAACAAGTTTCTGTTGTGGATGACAGCCACAGTGGATCTTTTCCTTATTTCCAAAGACTCAAACACATGCTCTGCTGGTGTTTTGTAACTCTATCCCCTGACTTCTGAAAAGCTTCCAGTAGCATCTAGACCTCTTCTGGGTGCCAGCCTGGTCTGGTCACTAAAGTGAGATCTTTGCCCTTCATGATAAACTGTAAAGTGTGACAGAGATGTCCTGGTGGATCTTAAAACTGAGACCAAGTAGTTTATTAGTGGTGTGAAACCTGCCCTGAGTGTAGGTGTCATCTCAATCCTCTTTTCCAAGGCTGTTCGCCTATACACTAGAAGTGTTTCTCAGCAATTGATGTGGAATCAAAAAACTTGATTGCCTGATGCTAGAGATACAGGTTTTAGGGTTAGTTTTAAGGTATGTTTTCATTTCTTCAGGAGGATATTTGTGTGTGTGTGTGTGTGTGAGAAGCATTTCATAGGCAAATGATTTTGAAGAGAGGTTTACTGATGGTACAGAATATCTTATTGTTTTCTTTCTTGCTTCATTTTTTTCTTATAGGGATGACATTAGTTAGTAGTTTTCATACTATTTTATTTCTTGGTTGGCACATTTATATATTTAACAAACAAATTTCACTATGTGTCAGGAATGGTTCCAAGAACCTTATAAATATTAATTTATCTATTAATATTTATTTTAATTATTTATAATATTAGTATTAACTGTGTGAGGAAGACAGTATTATAATACCAATTTTTACAGGTAAAAGAAACTGAGGCACAGAGAAGTAACATGTCCAGAATACACAGCCAATGAGGAACTGAACCCATCTGTCAGGCTCCACAGTCCATGCTATTAATCACTATGCTATATTACCTCAGGCTGACCTACTACTAATCTCTGTCAGATCTAAAGTAAAGTTCACAACGTGACTTGATATCTGGAGAAGACCTACCCTCAGCCCAATCATTCATTAGAAAAGAAAGGAGAACAGGGAGAAAGGTAAAGAGTAAGGAAGACTTAGAATGAGTAAGGAAGAGGAGTAATGGAGAAATGAACACAACCAGCAATGGATTGAGCTCACGTGTAACCTTCTCACAAATGATGCTAAATTCCAGTAAGCTGCCTCTTAAAAGTCCATGGGGGCACCTTCAAGTCCCTTATTTGGCTAGTCTAGTCAGGAGACTTCAAAGGCACTGGAAGGAACAGCAAACCTTGAGGGTCCTGTCTCTCCGATCAATCCATATTTCTTTTCCATAATGAGCCCAGAGGAAAAACATCACAGGCTCAGAACAACACATCCCCATTTTGTGATGAGGGATGGGGCGGGGGAGGGGAGGGGCAGCAGAGACACAATTTTGTCTCATGTCACACAGCTAAGAGGTAGCAAAGCCAGGATTCCAACACATGGACATTGAACAACAAAATTCTTATAATTTTCTATTCTCTCACACTGCTCTATAAGTACTTTCAGGGAACTCAGTAGCAGTAATAATGGCTATTTAGAGAACAGTAGCAATCTAGCTTCTCTCTCTGTCTCTATGACCTGGTTACTTTCTCCAGTGACACCAAAAACTTTGAACTCTTATACATCTATTATCTCATTTATTTTCAAAGCATCCCTGTGAAAATAGCAAGGAAAAGTATTATCAGAATCATCTTGTACGTAATTATAAGACAATATTGGCAATTTTACTGACAAATAATCTTAATAGTGTTCAGTTTTATAAGTGAGCATTTATCACACATCAGAGAAATCACCAGCTTAGAAGCCAAAATGAGCAAGGTCAAGAAACTTGATTTTATGAAACCATAGGGAGCTGCCTGGGTTTTGCTGGCTCAGGGAAGGCACACTCACCAGTCAGAAAGTCGGGGTCAGGGGAGGGCTCTGAGATTTCCTCTAGGCACTGATTTTCCAGGGGGACAGTGGCCACCACAAGCCCATCCGGCAGCTGCTGGTCTAAACCACGAGCAAAGTTGTTTTGCCTACAAACAGAGAAGTTTCTGAGTGTCCACATGGATCCTGCTCCTTGGTGGGCAGTCTACACCTCAATACACAATGTAAAAATTCTTTCTGGACCAAAACATTCTGCTTAGCCTGAACCCCATTTAATATACATGTCAGGAGTAAGACAGATGAGTAAGGGGAATATTCTTTCCCCCTTCATCGCAGTTCCTACTCCCTAACCCTCTCCTGACAAAATATGGACACATGAAGTCTCATTTCTAGACTACAGTGAAGACTCTAGCCACCATAAGATTAGCTTTGTCACCACGTTTCTTGCCTTCCACAAAGCAACTCCCAGACTAAATGGGGAAATATTTGTAAAGTCTCTTGTCTGTAACAGAAAAGGGAACTGATTGCAAGAGCTAGCTGGGAAGTTTGTTATTAGTTTTGTTCAAAAGAGTGGAGGCCCAGGTTGCTTGATTAGCTTCTGGTCCATATCATAACACTGACAGCATCAACACCAAAACCACCACAACCATCATCATCATCATCCTCTCCTGGAAAGCATGTTCCCATGGGTTCTGAGGCAGATGTATTCAAATAGCACAAGGTAGAATGGGGGCAGGGGCCAAATGAAGACTTTTCCAGGAAATATTCTAAATTAGTAATTGGAAGCATTTCATTCTCAGAAGTTCTTACATTCTTAAAAATAATTGAAAGTCCCAAGTAGTTTTATTATAGCTATATAATAATCCCCAATTATATCTATTAACATTTACCATATTGGAAATGAAACCAGAAATTGTAAAATTAATTCATTTAAAAGTAATAGCAATCAAATCCTTCAATATTAAGTTTTTATAAAAAATATGAGTGGCTTATTTTAAATTTTTTGTGCTTTTTTAAAATGTCTGACTTAATAGACAGCAACTGGATTTTTACCACTAAATCCAATTTATTGCAATATATTGTTTGGGTTGAGGATGTGAAAAAAAAAATCCAGCCTTTCTTTAGGTGGAAAAGGCAGAGTATTCATCAAAAGGATTCAGGGATCCTTGGATCACACTTTGAGGATTACTATTCTACACCTACTCATACACTCACTTTCAATTGGAAGGAAAATAGAAATGGAACATCTTGAGGTGGCTTCCATGTGGTCTTAAAGTCCCTACTTGGGCAAGGTAAAATCTCATTTAGCACTTTACTGTTCACACAGAAGCAGCATGGTTCTTGGATCCTGGAAGAAGAATGTAGACTTTGGAAAAGACCATGGGCAAGAGCAGAACCTATCAGTTTAGGCATATCACATTTACCTTGCTCCAAGATATAAAACTTTATGCTGAGTATAAAGTTCTTTGGAGAAGAAGAGCCAGCAACTGCCCTGAATAAGAGGTTCACCTGAATGTTCCTTTCAGCACCTGTCCAGTTGCCACTTCCTTGGAATGATTGTTGTAACCAAAGAACATATCCCCAAAGAGAGTCTGGTTCATGGGAAGCTCTCTGCTTTCCCCACAGTCACCTCCTTCTGGGCAGGTCTCCGTGACGAGTTGGCAAGAGCGTCCATCTATACCAAGTTTATAGTCCTCGATGCACCTGACATGGTGGAGAACTCAAGATAAGAAATCATTACATGAATAAGCCATGCAGGCAAATCAGCTCAACAAACTGAGAAGAAATGCCTTTGAGAGAGTGTTGGTTGACCAATGATTAGTAGTATTACAATTTGATTTTGACCCCTTTATTATGGTTTTCTTAAACCTGTAAACTGAGGCTCTTTCCATCATATGGCTGTGCCAATTTCCTTTTTCTTCTTATTTATTTATTTTATTTACAGTACTGGGGAGTGATCCCAGGGACTCGTGCATGCTAAGCAAATGCTCTACTCTGTGCTACCTTCCTAGCACTCACATTTCTTACCTGAAGTCTTTCAGAACATTGGAGTACTCTCCCCTTAATGGTTGTTTGATTCCCCAAATAGGTCAAGGTAAGAATCACTGGAGATAAGCTTATAAATGAGGGAACACACTGAAATCCAAGATAGTCTATCTCAGGAGTCATCTATAAGGCTAGATCCTGCATTTGTTTGTAAGGTAATTAGGCAGCAAAAAGGAATGACACTGTGCTTAAGAAATTAATAACTTTCTAATCTGGTCTGTGACAAGTCAACTAAGAAATTAGGAGGATTTATGATCTCCTAACTGTGTTCTGTTTGAATGTATCCAAACATAAGATCAACTCATATAAACTCCCCCTCCATTCAGAGTCGCCATCCTGAACTAAATAGATGCTAGGGAACATGGTGTGAGCACCAAGTGCTCCATTAACCAAGAACTGCCTCCTTGGTGTTCTCCGCATTACCTTACTCTAATGGAAAAGCAATACTAATTTGGTAATCGTGGGTCAGTGCTTCATAAGTCATTAATTGAACCTTATTTGTAATTATAGTGTGAAGAGTATACATTTGTTAGCTCAAGTAACAACCGCCTTTTTGATGCTGTTTCTGAAAAGGAATATTTATTTAATTGCTTATTCCCTTTAAAAAATAACAAATTTAGAATTTAAAGATATTCATGATAAGCACAAAAGTCATTATTATCTACAATCATTGTTATAATCAAAGACTTCATTTCTATCGAGAGGAACAAATGATCACAGTTGTAAGTGGTAAGAAGCAACATTGTAATAGCAAGGACTCTATTACTGGGTGACATTGAGTCAGTTGATTAACATCTCTGAGCTTCAGTTTCCAAAACAGTAAAAGGGGGGGAAGAAAGCAGCTGTTTCACTGGGTTGTTGAGAAGATTAAGTTAGACGCTTAACATAAAGAACTTATGAGGTGCTGAATATAGAACTAATTCTCCGTAAATGTTAGTATTATTAGCAGAGGTGCAAATGAGGCCTGTGTACACACAACTTTAACCATTAGTTTTCCTTATTTACCATGTATATATTTGTGTGAACAGGTATGAGTAGAGCTCTTTAATTATAAGTGCATATGATTTGGTCTTTATATAAGAAATTCAAATCAACGACTCCTTTAGCAGGCTACTTATAGTGCCCTGGATAGCACTAAACACACGTGTGCCTAATTCTGATCGCAACAGGCAAGAAAGTCCAGTTAAACTCAACTGCCTTTATTATGGGAATAGAAGTGAATCCCATCCCATAAAGGGTTACATGGTTACAGTTAAATCTGGGACAAGATGTGAACTAGCTTCTTCCTTGAGCCACAAACAGTGTTTTGGGGAAGGTCTTTGAATTTGGCTGGTTCTGCCTCAGTCCATCCTAAATACTGTGCTACCTTCTCTTTCCACATGGCTCCTATCGCACCCTTTCTCCTGGCTGTGTGTCACATGGTAAACTTCTTTGAGGGGTGGAGACCAGATCTGGTAGCCTGCTGTTTCTCATTTATCTAACACATAACTAGGTTCTCTGCACAAGTGGGTGCTGAAATATATGTTTTTTAAATTTAAAAAATGGACATAACTTTAGCAAGTTGACTTCTATTAATGGAAGTGGGTCAATCTTAATGATAACATTACAGAGAACATTAAAATTTAGAGCTTCTATTTATGGATGGGATTTTGCAAGAAACTAAATATGAAAATTGCTCAATTGCAAAGAAATCAAACAAAATACAATAAAATAGCATTACAACTTTTCTGGATATCTCTTGCATGGTAATTCAGCAGGCACTGGCTTTTAGCAACAATCCAGCATCATTTTATGACCATAAATATTGATTTCCATTGCAAGCCCGTTAGATGGTGAGATCCTTTAGGACAAGATCTAAATCTTACAGCCCAGGTTGTGTGTGGCATAAAGTGAGCCTCTGCCTGACTTTGAGGAAGAGCAAGGGGAAGAGTGAAGAAGGTGGTAAGGAGGGTGGAAGGGGAAAGAGAGATTAGACAAGCAAACTGTGGACATAGCAGAATGGGCTAAATCGTTATTTACTTGATAAATACAGCATGACAATGTTTTTAAATATAATTCCACTCAGTGATATAAATTTAAATTTTGAGAAAACTGCAAAACTTTTAAACAAATCAGAACAGGCCTGAATTCTGGTTCTAATCTTCCCACTTACCAATTCCCCAGTCTTGAAGGAGACAGTTCACCTCACTGAGCATGCTTTCTCATTTGCAAAATGGGATGGCATCGCCTGCCCTGTTCCCTCACAGAGCTGTCCTGAGTACACATGAGATGGGGTGGGGGACAGAGGTGACTGACTGTGAGGGGCTATTTACCCAGAGGAATTAACCACTTTGCTTGAGGAGTGGTGACTGCACAAAATGCTGGGACTTTGGGGGCAGAATTGGGAGAAGCTTCCACTATACCCAAGAACTCCTGCACCTTCTTTGATAATTGACACATTTCACACGCTCTTTCCCAAGTTTTAGACCATGGAATGCTTCTTGTCACAAAATAACCTAATTAACATAACTCCTCCAAACACAGCTTGGAACATTCTGGCTTAATTAGGCAATGATTTAAGTAAACCATGTGGTTAATTTTCCCTTGTAGGTAAGTCCCTGAGGCAGGATTTCCATATCTACAGGGCTTGGACTAGACTTTCCTTAAGGTTCCTTCTAGAAACCCAGACTTTACAAGCCTCTTCCTCCTCTTCTTCCTATGCTACAGGCTCTCTCCTCAGGGCAGAAGGGCTGGCCCAGGGTGACCAATGCTTTCACAAGGGCTGTCCCAGTATTAGCACCCAAAGTCCTACAGCTCAGTGAGCCCCATGGCAACTCAACTCACCCACAGAACATGAGGATGTTGTACAAGGCAGGGTCGTCAGGGAAGGGAGCCATCTGCTGGAGACATAGCTGCTCACAGCCACCATTGAAGCCATCTGAACAGTCCACCCCGATGTGGCGGTCATAGCAGCCTGAGCTGTCCTTCATGGGGCTGAGTCCGGATGGGCACTGGCACAATCAGAAAGCATTCACACAAATGAGTGAATCAAGGGACTTAGTTTTCTGAGAACCAGAGTGTAATCACTGACACTCTCTGCCTTGAACTATTAACCTTAGTAAGTAATGCACCATTTTCCCTCTAAACTGGATCCCTTTTAAAAGTGAATGACCTTTTTGACATCTTGCTTCTTCTCTTTGGGCATAGATCACGCACATGTGCATTAAGCTGTTTCCTTCAAATGGACCTAAAGGAAGCTCTGTCACAAGGCAGAGCTGAGGTAGGCTGCTCCCCAGTTGGGTCCAAGGCTGGTAGAAGAGGGCAAATGATAAGCCAGAATTATAATGTATTAGAAATTTGGGCTGGGGGCAGAGCAGTGCTACTGTTTGGACTTTGTATTAAGAGGACTTTTTTCATTGTCCCAAGCACTTGTCAATGTTGGTGCCATTCGGCAGTGTGGGAAGAATGGACTGAGCCAGGGCAACTGGACTCATCATGCCACCTTCCTGTCTCAAGACTGCTCCTTGGAAGACACCAGACAAGGGCACCTTCTCTGTAAGTACCCATGGTACTATGCTTGGGCCTATACTCAATGTGGGATTTTAGCATCTCTGCACTATCTTGTCCTCAAAAAACTCCCCAAGAATGACAGCAAAGGAGGGCATGTAAGAAGAGATTCAGGTCCCATGGAAGATCACAGGGCTGGGTGAACCATAGCAATACTTTTGCAGCAGTGGTCTAATATCTAACTCAACCCCATTGTGACCATTACCATTTGATATATGAGGAAACTGAGGCATAGAGCAGTTAATTCCTAAAGTCACATAGCTGCTGCACACAGGCCCACACTTAAAACCTTGGCAGGCTGGCTGTGGTGTCCTAACTCGGTTATTCTATTCTCTGCTCATACCACACTGTGTCCTCTGACCTGACAGTCCCCATTTACTGAACACTTACTAGGCGCTCCCACTATGTTAAGTACTTCGGACATTTTATCTCATAATATGCTATATTATCTCCATTTAAAGAAAAAGAAACCACTAACATTGCCAATTAATTCATGATCTCTTCACTGCACTAGGCTCCCTTTAAAGCCCACTCTGCTTCTTCTGCCTGTGCCACAGAGGTTCCCATTTGCTTTGGAGCTGATCCTTTCTAATAGGCTGTGGGGGGCAAATAACTTGGCCAGGCTCAGGCAGCTAGAATGGGGCAGAGCTGGACTGTGTCTAGATTGAACTCCAAAGCCGGAGCTTTTGGTGACTACGCTATACCCATGCTGTCAGCTGGCTAGCACACTCCTGTTAAACCAAACCAAACCCAAACAAAACTTTGAAACTCGTGGCACCATGTTTTTCCCTCCCTCCCTGCTGACTGGCTTGTTCTTTTGTCTTTGCTGCCAAGCACCTTGGCCTAGTAGCCCAGAACTGCCACAGATGTATATCTGAAAATCACTTCTCCTCCCCACTCCTTCCTCAGACAAAGATCACAGCAGGATAAGCACTGTTTGCTGACACTAATTCTGCAATTTTCCTAACAAATGGCCCCCTGTGGGCCTGCCAGGCCCCAGTCTGGTCCATTCCCTCTCTCCCCACAAAGGCAGCTGGAGGCTGGAAGGTGACAGCATTTAAGGAAATTTCCAAGGGCTGCCCCCTGCTGCACAAACCCAGATGTTTCCGGTGTCAGTAAACAAGAAATGAGACAGCTGAGGATTGCACCCTACCATTTGTTAGCCCTCCCCCACCTATCAAACTCCTTGGCTATCCAGCTGTTCAATCAGATGTGTCACTGGAAGGGGACTGATTTCAGCATGGTGCAGCTGCCCCAGCATGGATTTGGCTATGGAAACGGAAAGTTTGATTGGAACTAAATGAACTGCACTGGTAGCAACAAGTTCTCCCATCCCCACCCTATTCTACACAGCTTGCTAGAAGCCACCAAGAAGAGATAAAGCCAGTCCTCCTGTTATTACCACCTTGAGTGGTTTCAATCCACTAGTGATCTTAGTCACTAACCACGGTCCCTCTCCCCCACTTTCCAATCACCTTCTTTTTTTTTTTTTCCAGAATGTTCCATTAAGCATGAGTTTTGACAAAGACTTCACCAAATGAAACATAAGCAGGCTTTGTTCCAAAATTCCAAGTCCTGGCATATCCACATCTTGCCTGGTCCTAACACCTAGATGACCATTGCTATTCCAAATTGGACCACCTAATAGCCCCACTCTTGTAATAGATTTGGAGAAAAAACAGCATTAGCTCCCTTATCCAAATTGATTTTTTTTTTCTTATGAGCAAAGCTAAGAATAATAATCACAGCTACCAGTAATTAAGCAATTGGTGCAGGATATATTTCATGTATATATATTGCCTCAGTTCCAACAACACAGGCACACTTCATCTTCCCCATTTTACAGATGACTCAGAAAAACTAAGAAAGTTGTTTAAGGTTGCAGTGGTAGGAAATGACAGAATCAAACTTTGGGCCTAAATACATGTGACACTAAAGCTTATGTGTGTTCCTTCCATTTTGCCATCTTGCTTCCTAACTGTGATAAAACCTGGATTCATTGGAAGCCCAAAGGAAATAAAGTCAGTGTGTCAACAAGGAAAAGCAATCCTGCACATTCGTTGTTTGATCATTTTAAGCAAATCCTAGAACATATTCTTGGGTCAATTATGAATTTATAGATTTGGCCTACTAGTCTTTTTCTCTCTGTCCTCTTTACACACACACATGTGCCCTGTATTATGGGTGCAAATAGTATAGGACACAATATTACAAACTTTACAGAGTGATGATCTTGAAGGCAAAACAAATCTTAGTCACAGAGAAAGGTGCAATTATATTTATCGTGCTATAACTCATTTGGGCTATAGTTCAGAATAAAACATTTTAGAAATATTTCTTGGAAAAAAATGTCTGAAATAAAAAAAAATAGTTTTCTTCTTAATCCTTGATATTTGGAGCATTCATTCCCCAAGGAGTTAATCAATAATCAAATTTTAAAAGTATAAATCTTTTTTTGTTTGTTTGCTTTTTGTGAATCTTCCTTCTACTGGTGTTGGGGTTTGAACTACAGGCCTCCTTCTTCAAGACAAACACTCTGCCACTTTAGCCATGCCTCCAGCCCTATTTGCCTTAGTTTGTTTTTCAGATATCACCAGAGATTTTCCCGGGGTTGACCTCAGTCAGAGATCTTCCTACCTCAGCCTCTTGAGTGGCTGGAATTACAGGTGCCCACCATCATGCCCAGCCTCAAAATCTTGATCTAAACACAAGGAAGTTACAGCCTAAGCCCAGTTATTACAGTAGATCCTGCTTCTAGGAGAAGTTTGCATTTTATCTTTGCAAGGGCTGGATAGACTCTCCTCCTAGCTATGGACAATCCCTCCACTTGTTCCTTGAAAGGGGATTGCTTGTACAGGAGAGTGCCCCAAGGTCATGTATTAGCCCCTCTTCACATAGGTTACATTTAGCAGTCCCAGGGACTTTATGAACTACAGGCTTAAGAAGAAAACTCCATTTATTATGGCAACAGCCCACCCTCATCAAGAAGGTCTAATAAATGAGCTCGTATTTCAGTGACCCCTAAAATACACAAGGTTAATCATCATGCCATGCTCATGGCTTCTTGACTTATTGCTGGTCTAAGGCATAGCTTGCTAATGAGATTAAAATGATTTTCCCCATTCAATTCCATTCCTTTGCCCTCTTTCTTCTACTGATGATTTTTTTGGTTGATTAATTGCTTAGGAGGCTGTTGAAATCTCACTGAGTCTGAGACAGACCTCAGTTCCAGTTTACAAAGTGAATACTCTCTCAGCAGATGAATATGAGTGATGCACACATGAACTTATTCAAGGCTCTTGGGAGGAAAGGGACAAATTCCTACAGCTGAGCCTGCCTCACCTTACCTGGATGATTCATAAGACACGCAACCACAATTCTTACTCAAAATAGCTTCTCTTTTTATCAGATGGCAATCTTATGCCTTTCACAAATAATGATTTCCACAAATTTTTGATGGGTTCTGACAGGCAGACCCAAGCCATGCAGGACTTCTCCCAAGGGGGAACTTTGATGGAGTTAAATTTATATTTCAGGCTGTGATGGCTTCCTGCCCCCATTCCGCTGGAAGCCTCTGAGGCATATTCTCCTGCTTACTGTCCAACAGACAGAGATGGTCATCTATAATGGTCTCTGTGCATCTATGCTCTAGTGGAGGTGAAGTGACACATTTCATGGAAAACCATTGTGGACAGCATGTGGAGGGAAGGGCAGCAAGGTCACTGGGTAATTCAAAGCTCATTAGAGCAGAATATTCTGGTAAGGAAGGTCATGTTTTCCATACACAAGAAAGCAAGGCAGGTGACCTCACCCCCTTGCATGTACAAAGTCTGCTCACCTAAGTATATTCCAATACCTTACAAAGCAAAGGCATTTTTTAAACACTTGTAGGATGAGTGTGAAGATGAAGAAGAAAAATTTGAAAGCATGGGCTTTCTTATTTCTTTGTTTTTGGTATTGCACTGGAAATTATTTTCAAACTTTCAGACCAAATGTTATATTGAACCTCAGCACATAGGCTTGATAAGAATGAAGATGTCTGGGTAAAGCTAGGGTAGAGAAGCTGGAGACCTGCCTACCAAGTCTGTTCCAGTCCTCACTGTCATCTCCCATGGCGGGTTCCCCCAAATTTGTGACACAATCACGGGAACCTATGACTGTATCACCTTATATGGCAAAAGGAACTTTGCAGGTATGATTAAATTAAGGATTCTGAAATGAGATTATCTGAGTAGTCTCAATAGAATCACGAGAGTCATTAAAACTGAAAGAAGGAGGCAGAATGGAAAAGGAGATGTGCTACAAAAGAATGATCAGAAGGTCAAAAACTGCAATATTGTGGCTCACGTGGTCACGAGATGAAAAACATGGGTGAATGCTAGAAGCTGAAAACAGTTCCCTGATAGCTTCCAGAAAGTAATACAGCCATGGTGACCCCTTGATTTTACCCCAGGGTGGCCCATACTGAATTCTCATCTAGAGTTGTAAGATAATAATTTGTATCATTTTAGGGTACTAAAATCCCATGTAATTTTTTCCAGCAGCAATATAATACTACTACACCCTTGAAGGTGCTCTACAGACAGAGAACAGTGCTGCTTTGGGCTCCACAGTGGGGACCACTGTTCCACCACGGACACTAAGGAGAATGAATTAGATTTAGTCATCAGCTTTGCGTGCTTGACATGTGTTCTGGGAACTCTCCTGAAGCTTCTCCTGGCTGTTGGAGAATGGTCTGATTTTTGTAATGATGCTGTGGATTGTACAAGTCTGTGCTTTTCAAGGGTATTTGTTTCCTGTCCTCAGAGACTATATAAACAACAGGGCAATTAACCAGGTAGCAATTAACCCAGTGGGAGTCCATGCATAACTGAGAAATGTGCCCTGCCTTCCTAGAAAGAATGAAGGTTGAGCTGCTATGTGGACATAACATAAACTTGAATTAAATGAGAAAAATATACAGGTGCACACTCTGTCTCTTCTCACATCTCTGCCCCTTTCTCTAGTTCCTGAGGGGCCATATGCTCTAAATTTCTCATCTATTTTTTCCTTCATAAAATGTGCACTTCTTGGAATCCTTTTGATTCAGCACCCAAAAGAATGAATGAAGATGCCCTGGGTAAATTTAAGGGTGGAGGACCATGCAGGTTTATGTGGAGAGAGAAAGGCAGGCCAATTCTCAAACTACAATTGGTGGAGTTGATGTCTTTGGCTCCTGGCCCACCTCCAGATGACAAACACTGCTAACACACCAGGGCTCTGAGATCATATGGGTGCCCTATGGGGTCAGGTCAGGCTCAAAGTCAAGCCTCTAATCTTCTCAGAATAGTCAAAGGCATAACGATGTGATGTATCAGCTCTCATCACATCCATCCTTCTGCCTCAGTGAGCATATGCTGCATAGCCAATGAGAAACAGTCACCCTGCCCTCTTCCTTCCTCTGGAAGCCACGTGGACTAGTGACTTCAAAGTATTATAATAATACCAAGAACTGGTATAATTGGGTGACTTTCAGCAGTGGCTCAAATTCTAAAATGCATCAGCCTTACTGAAATGCATATTCATCAGAAATAGTCTTGTTAGCTCCATCTCACAGATCAAATGTTAAAAGTATAGAAATCCATCAGCACCACTATAGACCAAGTAAAAGGGGCTGGGATCACCAGCAGAAGGTATCTTACAGGCAAATCTGAGGGGCTCAGGAAGGGGCAGAGAAGTAGCAAGAGAGAGAGTTTATCCCTGTATGTGTGAATGTGTGCATGCCAGGGAGTAGGAGGAAGGGCACACATATGCACACCCAGTGTTTCAGTACTTAGAATGACCCCAGAGAATAATAAGGAATAAAAGGCTGAAATCTGAATGAAGAAATAGATCATAGTAAAAAAAAGAATATATCTCACCTGGGAATTCCACTAGACAGAAAAATTTTCTCATGAGGGACCCATTTGGGTGGACCAGCCAAAGGAAGTAGATAACTGTGAAACATCATCTTACCTCTTGCGTTCTTTTCGAAGACAAGACCTAACAAGCACTTTTCTTTGTATTTTCCCTATAGTTCTCTCTGTTCTTCTTTGACCTCGTTTTGAACCATCTGTCAGTTTCTCCTCCTACCTGCCCTTCACCTTTCTTTCTTTCCCTTTTCTCTTTTTCATGTCCTTTCCCTTCCTGGTGAATCAGGCTCCTGTTGGCACTGGCTTAACTTGTAACAGTTTGAAGTGGCTTTGGGGCAGGGAGATTCTACCCAAGATTCCAGGTACATAGTCGTCTTGTATTCAAAAGAGCTCCCTAAATAGAACAGGTACTGAAAGATGGATGGAGAAGAAGGAAGGTGAAAGATGGCAGCATTCTCACAGCTCCCCCCAACCCCTGCCATGGGTTCCCTCACACAGCAGAGCTGTCATATTGGGAAGTGAGAAGGGATTAACATATCCTCCCAAGGCCGGAAGGCCCTGATACTTTACTCCAACACTGCAGGACTACATGTTTCAATGAATGATTCCTCCCTCCCTTCCTTCTCACTTTGTATGGCCTCTCTGCCGTCATTCTCTGCCCCATTCCTTGTTCTCTCTTGAAGATTGTGTCATTGTCCCCTCTAAAGAAGGTACAACTAGAAACAGATGATCATGTTGATGGACAAGAGAGTGGCCAACATAAAGGAACCAGCATTCCATGGCTTCATCTGCTCCTGCCTGCATGTACCTCGATGGTCCAGTACAATCTTCATATCCATGGCAGGAAAGATAGTTCAGTCCACCCTGGCCCAAACAGTCTTACAGTTAAAAGCATCACCTATTTTAAAGGCAGCAAAAGTCTATAGAACTGAAAACAGTACAAAATCCACGTTTGGAAAAGAAAGAATTCATTGTTGTGGTCTCAAAATCATCACATTTATATTTTCTTTACCATTCCTGATATAACTTCCTTCATTACTCTAACTGTAGGCAGGTTCCTTCTAAAATTTCCTGTTATGTTTAGTCAATGTTATACTATTAAACAGTAAATTCATTCTCAAATGGTTCTCATCAAGTATCTAATAAGACTGGAAAGAGTCATAGCCTACAATTCATGGAATTTCCCTTGGAAATTTATAGAACACATGGTAGGTGTAGTCTTGATTAACTGGTTAATCAGTCCTAAGTATTTCTCAATTAACTGACTGGTAATTAGCTCTCATCCCTATCAAGTGGCCATTCCTAACTTAGACTAGATGGTGGTTACAGCTGAGGACCACAGTACATTTTCATCTGTGTATCTGCATTGTGTCTCACCCCATGTGCCTTTCCTCCTCAACCCTAAACCGAAACTCCTAGTGTGTCAGGACATACCACGCAACCAGTGGAGTCCAACTTGCGATCTGAAATGCAGCGGAAATTCTTGCTGCAGCCTCCATTATCTTTGCTGCAGTCACGCACTGGCCCAAAGGAATCTAAGAGAACCTCCAGGCTGTCGAAGGAGGATGACGTCATCAGCTCCTCCCTGCAGGGAGAAGAATGGGAGGCAGGCAGGAGTTAAGAGATTCCAGAAGCAGGTGGCACCATATTCCATATGTGGCCAACTGGACTGAGTACTACTCTCTCATAAAAATTGAAGATCAACCACATTCCATGCCTTCAGCTAACAAAGTATGGGCCTTCTCCATATATGGGAAATAAGCCAAGGCTGTAAAACACCTGGTCAAAGAAGCAGGTCTTCACTTAGACAAGAAAATTGCCTGTCAGTCCTTGGGGTATGTGGGAAGTACTTACACACTCTAATTTTATGTCTTCTTCCAGTGAATGGGCCTCTGGGTTTGCAATTTTGACCCAGATAAAGAGCAGATCCTGACCCTGGGATGGGGAACTTGAAGGCAGCCTGCCAGCTTCTCCTTTTGGCTTGTTGTGACTTCTTTCTCCATACTCAGGACCTTCAAGTAGTTTCCTCACTCCCAAGCCACTGGCAGCCCTCCACACCTTGAAGCTAGACTCACCTGACTTCCACTGCATCCTCCATCACAGTCATGTCTGTCTTACACTTTGCTGAGGGATTGATGGCAAGTTCCGCGGGAGGAATCACAAAACTCTTGCTGAGGGGCAGCCACATGCCCTCCCCAAGGGTATAGGTGAATCTGCAGACACACATCACGTGGTTAAGACGGGGCATAGCCACTCCACTGGAGTCCTGCCCTGTGTCACCAGCTGCCTCCCTCTCAGCTCCTACAGTATTCTTCAGATAGGAGAAATGGTTCCCGCTTATGGCTGATAACTGAGTCAGAGGGATGCAGAGAGGCCTGGTCCCTCTCACAGGCCACACAGCAGAAGAATTGACTATGGCACCCGTTTATCAGATATTAAAAGTGTTTTTATGAAGTCATAGAGGTGAGTCTCATAGCCAGGCATGGTGGCTCACGATGGTAATGTCAGCTACTTGGGAGACAGGGATCAGAAGGATCACAGTTTAAGGCCAGCTTGGGCAAAAAGTTCATGAGACCCTCATCTCAATCAACAAACTGGGCATAGTGGCATGTGCCTGTCATCCCAGCTATGTGGGTATCATCACTCAGGCCAACCCAAGCAAAAACTGCAAGACCCTATATGAACTAAGGGCTGGGGGTGTGGTTCAAGTGGTAGAGCACCTGCTTAACAAGTGCCAAACCATGAGTTCAACCCCAATACTAAAAAAAAAAAAGGAGTCTCAGTTTTGATTTGAAAATTTGAAGCTGAGTTTCCACTGTCTTAAGTCAGACATAATTGGAAGCAAAAGCTTCTCCCAGCCTCATCCCCAGGCTGCATACCCAGAGTGTCAACCATGGTTTCTCCCTGTGCCTGGAGGAGCCCTAGCAAGGAATAGGCAGGAAGAAAGCCCCCTTTTTCTGGCTCTGCATGACAGGAACAGAAGTGACTGAAGCCAGGAGCCTCCAGGGAGAAGAGAGGGATGAACAAATGAACAAAACAGGACCAGATTTATTCTCTGCACTCCTCCCACATCCTGAGTGAACAGTGCTAACCCTTTGGGATACAGAGAACAATTTTTTTTATTATTATTATTCTATAACAAGAGCTAAAAGGAATAAAAGAATCAATCAGCATTTCAAGGGAGAGCTTAAAGAAACCATGAGAGATTATTTGTTTATTTATTCACTCATTTCATTTCAAAGGCATTCAAATGCTCTGTGTTCACAGTCAAAAATAGTCTATGGGATAAAAGCCAGTGTGGGTGGGGTATCACGAGGCCGTGGCAGTCTGGCATCCTCTCCCAAATTAATGTGGAGAGAGGAACAATGGAAGTATGCGTACAATTAAGTGGAGTCCTGCACTGGTTCCATTAGCATGCTGGTCACAGAGCACCATTTCAGAACCCTACTGCTCTCTCCCCTAACCCACACATTCTCCTCTCCTCCGGGGTTGCCTGAGATTCTAGGAAACCAAATTGGTGATTTAAAATCTAGAGAAAAGGTTAGATCAAAAAGAATTAACCTAGAAGGTAACACGCACGCACAGGAAATCAATGTGAGTCAATGCCCTGGATAGCTATCCTTATCTCAACCAGCAAAACCCCTTGTTCCTTCCTATTATTGCTTATACTCTCTCTACAACAAAATTAGAAATAAGGGCAAAATAGTTTCTGCTGGGTATTGAGGGGGTGGGGGGGAGAGGGAGGGGGCGGAGTGGGTGGTAAGGGAGGGGGTGGGGGCAGGGGAGAGAAATGACCCAAGCCTTGTATGCACATATGAATAGTAAAAGAAAAAAAAATCTTTTTTGTAAAAAATGTAGCCCTCTCTGGAATGCTGGCCACAGAGCAGACCCACTGACTGGGGCTCCCTGCTATGAGATTTCTACCTGTGCCCTGAGAGAAAGCCCTTGGTGCCACAGCTGCTGAAAGAAAAGAAGGCAGGTGTGGGCAGGAGATTTTTAGAGAAGAGGCAAGACTCTGGATAAATGGGATGTGGCCAGGTTTTAGAGGATTTCCTTCCCATTTTCACCTTGACTCTTGGTCCTCTACTCCTCTGACTTACTGGGAACTCTTGAGATGCTTCTTGCTCTGAAAAGGCTCTCAAAGCTTCCTACCCCAGGGGCAGGAGGCAGTAGGTGGGGCTAGGTCTGGAGGGGTTGCTATACCTGATAAGGAAGGCCCATTACTTGGGAAGCAAAAGCAGACCACTGCTTCATTCTTCTGTGAATGAACTAGTAAAACTAAAAGCATGACTGCACATTTGCACACACACGCACACACACACACACACACACACACTCCACCATCTGGCAATATTAAGGAGATGAATGTGAGATGAAGGGTACAAACTCTAAAAGTTTTATGATTTCACTTTTTGGACTTCATAATCCACATCCTTTTTTTATTTTTGCGGTACTAAGGGATTGAATCCAGAACTTCATGCATGATAGGGCAGCTCTCTTCCATTTGAGCCATACCCCAACCCTTTTTTGCTGTTTTTGAGACAGGGTCTGGCTACCTTTACCATGGCTAGCCTTGAACTGGTCATTGTCCTGTTTCCACCTACTAGTACTGGGACGACAGACATGCACCACCATACCTGCCCATAATGGACATTCTTTTTTATTTCTTTTTTTGGTGGTGGTAGTACTGGGATTTGAATTTTTTTTTTTCTCGTATTTGAGTTTTTGGTACCACCTTTAGGCAAGCTTTTTACTCAGCTTCTATAGTGGGATTTGAATTGAGCTTCATACTTGCTAGGAAGGCACTCTGCCACTTGAGTCACTCCTCCAGTCCTTTTTTGTGTTGGGTATTTTCAAGCGAGGGTCTCTTGTGTATGACTGATTGCCAGGGCTGGCTTCAAACCATGATCCTCATGATCTCTGCCTCCTGAGTAGCTAGAATTACAGGCATGAGTCACTGGCACCCAGTTTATAATGCACATTCTTAAGAGAGCAACATTCTACTAAGCAGGCTCTGGCAGAGACACCTCTAATTTGACAATATATTGTTTCAGGGAGAACATCTACAAGCTTGAATGGTGCCAGGGAGGAAGCAGTTCAGTGGATGCAGAGATGAGCTTTTGTTTTCTATTTTGGTTTTAAAATTATAATTTTACTATGATTATGTAACAGATTTTAGGAAACTGTTGGCAGTTCTAGTGCATCTATGATGGTTAATTATTGTTTTGGAAGAGTGGGGTCCATGCCCATCCATCTCACAGTTTTCCCCCCATTGTCTGCATGCACAAATACTTTTAAGGGAAGCTTTTCCCTAACCTAAACTGTTTAATGTCATCCATGTGTATAGAACAAAGCTCAAACCTCCAAAAGTTTCATTCTAACCATACCTTCAGCTCTTCTCGTCACACTCTGCCCTCCCACCATGCCATCTGGCTATAATCCCTGAAGTCAGACTAATCTTTTTACCTCTTTACAGTTGCTCATCATATTCCCTCTTTCTGGATTTTTATTCCCTGTCTTCTTCACCTGAAGAAGCACCTCATTTAAGGTGCTAGAAAGCCCCACAAAACCTTGACATTCAACTGGCAGGCTGAGCAAGGGACTCTCCTCTGTCCACTTTATACAGAATCCCTTGTTGCCCTAAGATGTTGATGTCAAATTGTACTTGTCTTTCCCTGTGTTCTTCATCACTAATAGCAATGTGCTATCTCGGATGGCAGAGGATAGCTCCTTGCCATCTTTGCATTCCCACTGCCTAACACAATTTCTGACCCAAGAATTAGTCAATAAATGTTTATTGACTAATCAATAAGCAGATTCTATTGTTTCTTTAGTTTGCACAGGCTCCTGGTGGACATAATCTCAACATTCAAATTTAAAGTTTGGGGTGATGGTGAAGGTAATCTTCCATATGAGTCGGGATATGGTTTAACCTCTGAGTTTGAATGCATTGAATGGTCAAGATGCATCTGGGTTGAAATTGGGAGGAGTATCCTAAGTGCAAAGTAACTTCTGTGACACCCACTAGAAGCTAACAAGAAAAGCAATGTAATCTCCCTCCAGTCTACGGTAGGGTCAAGGTGAAACTCAGGATGCAAAGTCAAGTTAGATGTGGAGTAGAACTGACATTTTCTGGGAACTTTTAAAGAGGGAAGGTGCTATTCAGAGTTGCCTCAGCAGTCCTCACAACAGTACTGTAAGGTTGGTACTTTGCTGCCACTTTAAGAACATTAGTAATCTCCCAAAGGTCACCCCCTTGGGTTTGATCACAACATCTTTCCAGTTCATGTTGGCTTATGCCTATGAAATTCTAAAGCATTCTTTCATCTGCAAAATCTACTGAACACTCCAAAACCAAATATAGAATAAGCTGTCAGAGAAAAGCTGTGTCCTGAAATCTCATCTGTCCCGCATTCACGGAGATTTGGCAGGAACAACTTCAAAAAACCACCCAAGAGAAGTTGGGTGGGCATCTGGAATGTTCTCCCAAATTGGGCCTTCTCTTGTGACAGCTGGTGGTGACCACTGCAGTTGATGGCTCAGCTGTATGCTATATGGTCCTGTTGAACCAGAGATGGACATTTCAATTTGGAGGCAAACACTCACCAGAGAGTGCTGGACAGAATAAGCCTGTGCTCTCTCCATGGCTTGGCATGAAATAGAATGTAGGAAAATGATAAATAGCTCTTGGCCTGACATATTCACTCTTTCCCAGATCAGGCTATTCTAGGATGACTGTTGTTTCCAGAGAAGTAGTTACACACCTGGGAGGGAAGTCTCTGAAAGACAAATTTGGTCTGCTCTAATCCCTGCCACCACAGAGTCTAGTGAAAGAGAGTGAACCCTACTATGCTTGAAAGCATATCTTCAGCACTGGAAAGAACTGGATGAGAAGACTCAGTTGAGACGTTCAGGGTCCTCTTGGACCCTTTCTGTCTAACTACAGATTGCAGGTAATAAAGGTTGAGTTGGGATCAAGGCCTTTTCCTAGTCTGCTTTCAAGATCTTAGAAAATACCTGAAATGAGCATCATCTATACACATCCACTAAAGGCCTACTATGTTCAAAATTATACATTATGTAGTGAATATCTAAAACTATATAGGGTACCACCCCTTTTTTCAAGAAGACAACCATTGGAAATAGTCACTTTAAAACAAATATGAAATAAAATTATTGACAAGTTATTATCAGAAATTTGGAAGGAGGGTAGTGGAATGGTACAGTGGATTACAGTAGCCTTAGAGCAGTGTTTATCAATCTTGGCTATAATCAGAATCACCAAGATACTCTAAAAAAAAAAAAGCATTCATTCTCTGGCCATACTTCCCTGCACTTTTAAATTAACTGGCTTATGCTAGATATGATCACTGGTCCTTTTAAAGCATTCTGGGATTTTTGCAGAGGGCCAAGGATGGAGACTACTTTCTGGGTAAATCTAAACTCTTGAAGACAGGGATTGTCTTGCTCATATCTGTTTGGTCATATCTATTGCTTCCGAAACAGTGCTTTGCAATAGTAGGTGCCCAAGAGGTGATGGGTTTAGAGACTTTGTTTGGACCATAAAAATGGGTAGTATGTATATTAGGAGGAAAAGATGCATTTTTGCAGGAGGAAAGTGTATGAGCAAATATGCAAAGTGGGAGATATTGGGGCCAGTGAATCAGTTAGAAGGCAGATTTGACTAAGAGTGAAAGGTTCCATGGGAAAAGAGCAGTTTATTTAAAAGACATTGCAATTGGCATTCAATGGTAACAAGATTCAAATGTCAGAATTTAAGCTTTATTTCACAATCCAGAGAAATATGCAGTGATTTAGAATTCATTGGAAAAAAATCATGAATTAGTAGAGTAGCAAGTTAATAGCCAATTACAGTCACTGAGCAGGTCATAGACTTTTCCAGAGTGGCCATTGGTCGGTTAATGCCTAAAATAAGCACAGCATGACCTATTGCTTTCATTTTGAGATACTAGTTATTGTCATGCTAGGGAAAAAATTGATAATTGCTTATTGATGACCCCACTAGCCCCTGAGAGTTTCCCTCTTGGAAATAACTTCGTTCCTCTGTAGTGCTTGGGTATCACATTCAGTTGGCAGACAACATGTTTGAAAAAGTAAATGGCGTTTGTGGGGATGGAACACATTTTTTTAAGCAAGTTGTGCTCTAATAGCAATTTCAATAAAATTCTTGTGTTTTAGTCTTAGCTTCTGACTTTTAAGGAACAGGGAACTTATATATGTTAATTAGCAAAACTCCACCTGGTCCCCCATTGCCTTGTCTTTATTACCCTGTGAAGGTCCTGGCAGATGAGTAGTAGGAAAGAGAGAGAAAAAAGTCAGCCAAATGATAAATCATTGTTGGAAAGTTTAAATGACCATATTACAGTCCAAGGAATATAGCTGACATCTCTTCCAGCACAAATCCTCAAAAGCAGCCTCAGGCTAGTACCATTAATGTGACCCAGCCTGCCTTGGGAGAGACACTCAGGAGAGGAAAAGACAAGGAGAGGTTCTGAAAATCTGTACTCTTGCTAAGAGCATGCCTTAGGAGAACACTGCTAAAGCCAAGCTGAGTCCATCCCAAGCTACCAGAAAGAGCAGGACAAGTTTTACAGGGTAGTGAGAGCAAGGAAGCAAATGCCAGAGTAAAGTTAACACCTGAGCCATGCATGGCTGACAGGGAGGGTCTGGAGAAGAGGTTTGGACAGGTGATAGTAAGTGAGTCTCGGCAAACTGCATGGGTGGAGAGACATGAAACTAGACTTCCATTCACCCATGCTGCTTACCATTTCTCCAGTGATATACAATAGCTGAATTCATCCATTGACATCAGCCACTTGTGCAGGACTGTTCAGTTCCTCTACTAAAGGGGTTTGCTCATGGAGGGAGAAGTATTTATGCCCATACCACCAGGCTAAGCACATTCTCTGGCACTTAGTAGGTACTCAGCAAATGTATGTTCCACGAAGGACAAAAATGACAAAATGAATGAGTAATAAGATCTGTGATTGAAAATAAGCTTATATTCCAGACACGGTCTGGTGTGAATTAAATTTTATAAAAATCCAAGAGTTCCTGGCTGGTACCCAAAACCTTCCTTAGCTTGTGCATCTTTCTAGTATGTGCTATTACGAGATATGCAGGTAGAAATTTGGGAGAGACTAGAAGCATCAAATTTGATCAGGAGGGTAATAGATAAAAGAAAATAATAATGAGATAGAGTTTAGAAATGGAGGAGGCAGGGGCAGGAGAGATTAATTTTGAACAATTTAGGACTCTATGAAGAAGGTGCAAATTAGATGTAAAATGGAAAAGCAGAAACTGACATTAATTGCCTGTTCTGTGCCAGATTTTGTGCCAGAGACTTTCCCTGCATTATCTCATATATTCCTCACAATAATCCAGCCAGGCATAAAATGTTGCTCCACTTTAGCAATGTGGAAACTAGAGACTCTACCAGTTTAAGTAAGTTACTGAGCTGGCAAAGAAGGACACCAGGACCCAAACAGAATATGTCTGACTTTAAAGTCCCCCGTGCTGTCATGGGACAAGTTACTAGATAGGCAGAACAACTAAACGTATTTCCCATTTTATATTTTAGCACTAGGAAAGAAAGTTCAGTGGGAGGTAGGACACTGGGCTTGAAGACATCCACAAGCAAATCCCTGGACAACCACTTACCTGAATATTTTATCAGAGGGCTGCTCTCCCAAAACCAGGTCAAAGCCTCGCTGAAATATTGTGTAAGGCCAAGGCCTAAAAGGAGAAACATCATTCAATTAAAGTCCACTCAACAAACACTCTCTTCTTGCGAGGTACCATGCTGGATTGTAAAGACCCAAACATGAAGAGGACATAGTCCCTGACCTCAAGAAGCTCTCTAATACGAGCTCACACATGACCTTGAATCCTTGTATCTGACCAAAAACAAGGTCAAAGGAAAAAATGACTGAACCATTAGCAAAGTATAATTTAATAGTCATGAAAATTGGAATGACATATACAGTAAAATTATATTGTTTGGCCTGATAAAGCCATAATTGATGGTCTTTTGATACACATTTACAAAAATCTAGCTTTGCCCTACTTAAGAAATAGGGGTATCATGATTTCTTATGAAAGACACAGCCTTTGGGAACCATACAGTTCTGCATTCAAACCCTATTCTGCCTTTGAACCAAATGTCAGACTTTGGGTAAATCATTTTCCTTGTTGAGCCTAACTCTTCACTCTTGTAAAAATAGGGTTAATAATAGCTGTCTCACAGACGCTTGAGAAGGTAAACAAACCTTTTAGGTCAATACAGGTTTGTCCACATATTTCCTTTCTTTACTCAAAATAACTTGAGAATTCTAGGTCTTTGTTAGGTTCCAGATGTCTTTAAACATTTTAATCTCACTCATTCAGACATAATCAATTAAAGTTATATTTTCAAGTAATTATTAACTCTAAGTCTTTCTGGTAAACATCTAGGTATTGCAGAACGTACTAGAAAGTAGCAAAATGATCTCTTTTTAAATAGTTCTTTTCACTAGCTTGTGCTGAGTAGTGAGCTACTATACACATTGAATGAACCTAGCCCTTGCACTCAAGAAACTTAGTCTCATAACTAACTCAGTTATTGAGGATTTTATTTTTTATTCCTTTGTTTTCTTCAGTCCACAAAAACTCAGGGGCTAACTCTAATCAGCATTAACCCAGAGGTTATCTGTACAAGGGATCACTCAAGAGAGGACATTTTGGAGAATAAATGGGGTTGTTCTTGAGTGATACAATGATTAGTGGGCACTACTAACATTGAGAAGACAAAACTAAGATGGCAAAAATAGTACAGTGCTCAGGACCTTTCTGCACAACAATTTTCCCATATCCTGCAAGCTTTTCAATGTCATGGTGGTCGTTTACTTAACAGTTGAAAACCTGCTTGTAATGATAAAGCCTCAGTGCTAATTTCATTTACATATAACACAAGTAGCTTGTACAGTTTTAATGCAAGATGAATTTTTAAATTCATAGCTATTATGTAAATTAAGGGAAGATTATACATTATATAATTGCTTTGATTCATCAATATAGCAATCCATATAAGTCTGTATTACTCTTAAATATACAATACATTTTATTACATTATGTTGAATCTATATTAAGTGCAAATGTCTGTCAACTGCAGTATTTTCCCTGCTGTAATAGAGTATTTACATATTAAAACAGCTATTATATCATTACAAATTACCTTCTTATTTTTCATTTAATTACTATTAAGGCATTATATTTATTTGTTGAAATCTTGTGTACACAGATTTAATTATTTATGAATTTCATTTAAGGGTAATAAAAGAGATTAAAAATTTTTGTTATGAAGTAGGGTGTTGGGTCTGATAGGGCTGATAACCACCAACTTAACTCGAGCAGCTAACTGATTAACTCCTCACAGGAGTTACAAGGGGAGTAGTTACAAGGGGAGGCCATTGGGACTACATAAGGGAGCAGCTAGTATGAATGTGTTCATTTTTTTATACTTACTATTTATAAATACTTTATTCCTAGAATTGAATTTAGAAATACCCTGAGGTTCCAAAAAGTACCCAAACATTGTACTATGAATAATCTCTGTATCAAAGAAAGAGCCCCCTCCCAGAAGTTCTCCATGTTTGTTCTGTTCTTTTAAGTGAAGTCACAGAATAGGGTTTGTGTTTGCTTCTTTCTTGCTGAACAGTAGGTAGTATTTTATGGGCACTGAAAAACATATATTAATTCAAGAAAAAGTTTAGATCCCATGAGAATGACCCATATGGTCCTAAACACCTAAGGGAACCTGCAGCTTCACCCTTCTATTGGGTCAGAATGAAATTTATTTACTATAAGTTTAATAACTTTAAGTAACACATATTTGCCTGCTAGCACTCAAAACTGGTACAATGTATAATTAGAGTGAATTCTTGGCATGGTTCCTAGGTTATTTGAAAATATATTTTGAGGAGACAAATCTTGGGACTGGCATTGATTACAATGTGAACAATTAACTGCATTGAATGACATAAATATACCTGTCTTCCAGACACAGTTAATGAATTGATGAGCTTGAAGACATTATTTAAGTACATATCCAAGTGTTGATTAATAAAGGCCAAAGAGGCCCTCTGTTCTTAATGTTGGAAAGTAAGTCAACTATATTCCAGGGACAGGGATATACACCTCAGACCCACCCTGCCCACTTAGAGGAACAGAGCTCAGGGGTTGGGATGTGGCTTCTGGAGTAAGCCACCTATTTCAGATTCCAGCTCAACCACCAATCCCTGGGTGACTTTGAGAAAGTTGCTTAACCATTCTGTATTCCCATGTCCTTATCTATAAAATCAGGTTGATGGAAATAATCATATCTACCTGGCAAGGTTGTTATGAGGAGGAACTAGTTAATATAATTAAATGTTCTTAACAGTGCCTGGCATTATTAAGAACCATAGAAGCAGATATTAGACATGTTAAATTTACTAATTACCTGAATTAAATGTAAATCTTACAATAAGGGGGTGATTTCTATATTTCCATAAATGAAGAAATTTCTTACCCTAAGGTACAAATGCAATGCCAACACAGACTTTAACTCAGATGGTAGGTTAATTTGTATTTGCTGGAGAAGAGACAATAGTGAGTATGGGAAGTCAAGACCTCCCACTCAGGGACCACTCCACAATATTGACACTAAGTACAAAGAGAAGAGGAAGAACATATCATGAAATAGCAAGAGAAGTAGGAAGCTGCAAGTTGGACCAGCAAAAGAATAAATAGAAATTTGCTTATTTTCTTTGCACTAGTCAGGGATGATCTGACAGAGAGATGGGAATTCTTACTTGATTTATTTACCAAATATTTATGGAAGCCTATTGTTTGTGAACTGTGGTACTAGGCAATAAGAATGGAATAAAGTAGTTCTTTCCCCCCAAGGAATCTACAATCGTTCTGAAGAAACACACATGTGCTCAGACAAATAGAAGTTAATGAGGAAAAGGAACAGACCTAAATGAGATAAGCTAAGTGCTACTGGATGATGTAGGTCAACCATGCTGGGTGCAGGGAAGTCTGGGTGTTCACAGTGCATAGAATGATAGAATGAGGAAGCTTGTCTCACAGGGGTCTTACACAAAATTGTGGAAGAAAATTAATAACAAGCTGGACCTGAAAGCACCAAAAACTACTTTGAAGCTGAATATCTGGAACTAACTGAAAGATTTCTGTGTTAGGGGTCCTTAGGTGCAAGTCACAGTAAGAAAACCAAACTGGCCTCACCAAAAAGAGACCCATCATTGAATCATATATCCAGGCTTAGATGGAAGTTGCCTCTGGGA